GCGCCGGCCTCGCGCTGCCGCCCCCCGTTCCCGGGGCGCCTCGCGTCGGCCGGCCGGGTCTCTCTCGGGAGCTTCTCGTCCCTCCGTCCCCGGCTTGCCGTGCGTCTATTCGCGACGGGGAAATGGAGGCACAGGAGCGGGGAGGGAGGAGTTGCTCTCATCATTCATTGGAGCCAGCCGAGTGAGTGTCCCTTCCCGGCGTCGCAGAGCCGAGGTGTGCCGCCGGTGAGTGCGCCGAGGACGCGGGGTGCGGGGGAGAGAGCGAGGGGAGAGGCAGGGCCTCCGCCTTCCAGGAACTGACTTCGGGGCCGGGCAGAGCGTCCGTGTGGCATATGGTAGTCCGGTGTCTCGGGAGGACGGGCGAGCGGGGAGTTGGCTTGGAGACCTGTAACTTGCCTTCGGATGCGTTATCCTTACGTACTCATCCGTTACAAAGATAGCAAAAACGAACGTGGGTGAGGAAGAGAGCGCAGACCTGCTCCACTAAACCTTGCCTTATCGCTGTGGTTGTGGATACTCATAGAGTAGAAGAAAGTTTCAACGGAGCTAGTGATTTTTTTAATGCATCTCGGGACCCTCAAGTCTTTTGAAGAATTTTCTTCCTCTTCTTTATCTTTTTCTTTGTCAGTAGATACCTTGATTTAAAGCCTCTTCCAGTATAAGTAAGAAATGACAGAATAATCCGTGCCCGTACTGCTTGACAACCCTTTAGATGAGAACTTGGATTGTGGGGAAATTCATGGTTAGGCTCTAAAGGCTTTTTTTTTTTCTTCCAAGCTTCCGGTGTATGAATTGCACCAAGTAGGTTTGCCCCCTAAAATTTTTGTGTTAGATGTAAAATTTACAAAACTTTTTTTCTGTTTTCAAAGCCACTAGGAGGCTCAGTATTTGGATAGTGATTTTTAAAACTCTCATGTCTTTTACACTCCGGATAGTGCGTTTTAAAGCATATAATGGAGGAGGGCAGAAAGGGGAAGGGGATTTTAAAAAAGAAGCTGTAGTATATACATATACTCACTTGTCAAGATGATTGTAAACTGCATGTTCTGCACATGTGTATTAATAAAAAGGTTTTTTTTTTTTTTTGTACCGGGAATCGAACTCAGGACTTTGCACTTGCAAAGCAGACAGCTGTGCCTCTGAGCTGTATCCCCGGCCCATAAAAAGGTTTTAAACATAAAACGTATAATAATTTTGATAGCTAAGTCAAAGCCTTGTATTATGTACATCAAATATAGATAATTTTAAAAGAATCTTGTCACAATATTCCTGGAACTTAATTTATTGATAATCAAAGGATGGTAGAGCTCTAATTGGTGAATAACATATATGTATAATATAAATTTTGCATGTTTTTTTGACATGCATATGTACATGCAGTTCTATTACATGTTTCTGAATTATTAGGGGCTTGGCATGATCCAGATACTCACAGATTTCTGTGCTCTGGAGAACATTTTATCTCACTGTGTTCTGCTTTGCCAAGTCTTCAGATGTATTATTTCTTTTCTTTTTTTTTTTTTTT